CATACGTTCAGGTGGATCGCCCGGGCTGCAGAAAGTCAATCTGCCTGCCTGCCCCTGCTGCTGCTCTCAGCCCGAGCCTTGGATTGGCTTGTTGGGTGGGGCTTAGCGACGGGGCGCGCCAGCTGTTGCCAGTGCTCTTTATCGCATTGCCGGGCGCGGCTCCTGCACCCACCACCACCACACACCCACCTGTGCTCCCGCGCAATGGCCGACTCCAGCACCTCCCGCAGCGCCCCCACCTCGCTGCCAAAGCGCTCGCGCTCAAACTTGGCGGCCGCCGCCGCCGCCGCCGCTGCGTGCACCTGCTCCAGCCGCCCCTCCTCCACAGGAAGCTTCTCTGCCTCCACCCTGCGGGGCGGGGGCGGGGGCGTGGAGGGCGGCCGCGCACAGGGGTAGGTGGCGTGGTGTGGAGGGTGTTGGGTGCAGCAGCCGCGCCCGCCAATGCGATAAAGAGCACCGGCAACAGCTGGCGCGCCCCGTCGCCAAGCCCCCCCCAACAAGCCAATCCAAGGCTCGGGCTGAGAGCAGCAGCAGGGGCAGGCAGGCAGGCGGGCAGGCGGCCCCCGCCCTGCCTGCGTATGTACAGCTCCTTGCACCCCTGCACCAGCTCCTTGTTGAAGTACTCCACCAGGCTGCCAGCTGCGCAGGGGGGGGCAATCCGTGGTGTGTGTGTAGGTGTGTGTGTGCACGTGCTGACCGCTGTGGCGGGGCAGGCCGCGCGCGTGCGGGCGGGCCTGGGGCGCGCGGCGGCAGGCGCGGCGCACCCGTGGGTATGTCCCGCTCGTTCAGCCCCTCCACCACCCGCTGCACCAGGTCGGCCAGGCCGGGGCCATCCAGCGGCCTGCCCTGCACCACCTTGGGGGCTGCCAGGCTGCGCAGCAGCGCCTTGAGGCCCTCCCTCTTGGCGATGTAGGCGGGCTCAAAGGCCTCGTCACCCATCTCACACAGGCGGGTGCGATCCAGGTGGGGCTGCAGCCAGGGGCAGGGCGGGCGGGGCCACGGCATGGGGCAGAGGGACAGCGGCGGGGCGGCGGCGCCGGCACCGGTGGCAGGCGCGGTACGGCGGGCGCGCGGGCGTGAGCAGCAGGCGAGCAGCGAGCCAGCGGGCGCAATGTGATGCTGGCGGGCTCGCCTGCGGCAGGCCCACAGCAGTGGAGTTGGCGGCGATGAGGTGCAGCGACTCCCTGCGGCAGCGCAGCAAAGGGTGGCGCGGCACCGTCACCCCCACGCCATGCGGTGCTGGCTCGCAGCTCTGCACAACTGCCCACGAAACACACACACACACACACACATGCACACACTCTGTAGCCATCACCGCCGCCACCGCCGCCCCCACCCCCACCCCCTCCATGCCGCACCGTATGCGGTTGAGCTGCAGGATGCCCGGGTCGTCGTGAGGATTGGGCACCAGCTGCAGCGCATCGTGAAGCGTCTGGTCCAGGCTCTTGCCCTGCACACGCACGTGCACACGCCAGTCACTCGCTGGCGGTCAG